ACAAGCTGACCACTGAACACAAATTAGGGGCGGTATTGTAATCTCCATGAGTACATATGAAAGACGGGCGGAGCATTCGTTTCTGGGTGTCCCCCAAGAGGCCCGTCGCGCGGCGAAGGAAGAGACGCAGACGCGGCAAAGGACGAGTCGCAGCGCATACTGTAGCGGTTAGGCGTCAGGTTAAATGTGTACCATACTACGTCTCATATCGCACAGCACGCGCTGCGACTCGTCCTTTGCCGCATCTGCGTCTCTTCCTTCGCCGCGCGATGGGCCTCTTGGGGGACACCCTTCGTTTCCTCGAGAATCTGGTTAGAATTTCTATCCATGCAGGATCTCAGAGAAGTTCTCAACATGGTTTTCCGTTCAAATCGCATGTTTTCTAGAACATTTCTCAAGCGTACTGTACAATGGCAAATATTTCAGCATGGGGCCGTATGTCGCGATGGGAAAGGAAGGATCGGGTTGGTGAACCATTGCCACTCACTGGATCGTTCGCTGCTGTCGGCATACTGTCCCAGTCAGGTATGTCCGTATGTTTACCTAACAAATATTTCCTGTAAAATTTGCATAGCAAAAAAACTACCGACTTTTATTCTCAGTTCACGATGCACAGCCGGTGTGTAGTGATTGGGACCTGAGGAATGAGGTGTCGTTCGCGTTGATACGACAATCCGACCCGATCGGTTCTGATGGTCCCGAAGATGTTTGGTTATATAACAGGTCAGTGGAACTTCATATAAAGTTGCCATAAAAGGTCTTCGAGATATTCTTCCCTCGATATTGTGTCCTCCGGAGTTTGATCTATAAATTTTTTAATGAAGGGCTTCCGTTGTTGTCTCCCAAATACACCAATCCATCACTGTGAAACAACGCTTTCAGCTCCATACCATGACAAAATGAAACAAATGCGTAGAGAGGACCATCATCCATCAGAGCAGCGTAAAACATATGAAGAGGTTATTTGTCACCTTGAAAATGTTGCTCATTTCAGCGGTACGCGGCCGTTATTTATAAGCATGACAGCTTCATCATCAAAACCGGATACGTTACGACGTCTCTCACCGGGTTACTGTATTCGTGTTCACAAAGGGGAAGCAACAGCCAGCGCTCCGGCCAGTGAACGAGCCCTTCAACTTCATCGGAGGATGAGTTCGGGGTAACGAAGACTTTTTATTTTTGTTCCATTTCCATTTCGGCTCGAGATTAATAGGGATAGAGGGGGTGGAGGGGGTCCTAATAGGGAATATGGGGCAATTTATTATTGCTACATATTAGTTTGGGCGTGCCACGTAATATAAGTTCCAATCATAAGAGAAGATGCTCTTGGGACGTTATCGCTGTCGCTTCGCGCCGCTATCCAGGCTTCCTAACCATGCATAATCGAGATTACTGTGGGCTTCACAAACTACTGCACCCCTTAGGCCGATGTCAGACTTTGTGAATCGAGCGATTCGCTAGCGTCTACGGTCGGGTTGCGGTACGAGCCAATGGAGCGATTCGCTGGCCGCGACGCGACCGCGGACGCTGGCAAATCTCTCCTATTCGCGATAAGTCTGACAATGTCTCAGTAATAATAGACTCTACCCACACGTCGCTCCTCTTATTCATGAAGTGTATCAAATTTTTCTGTGAATTTCCGAAAGTTCACCTCACAGTGGAAGAAATGTTTTTATAAAATTGTGGAGCGGCATACGCATTGAAATAATAAGCAACAGGTTGCTAAGATTCTAGAGGGAGGGGGAAGGGTGAGTCAGGAGGTAACACGCGGCTTCGCGAACGCAGCAGCGCTGCGATTCGTCTTCACTCGCGCGGCTCGTGGACTAGTAATGCAGCCAAAATGAATCGTAGCGCTCCACGCACTTGGGCTACCATTGACGCTTTCTGACCTCTGTAAACATATTCATAGAACCTCCACTGCAAATATTCCCATGAAAATCTTCATTTCAGGATCCGGCGTTATCACATAGCAATTTGGTGATATCAGTGGGTCGAGGATGGGGACCGAACTACAGTCGACTGTATGTGACGGATATTCCATGTCGATACGAGGTGTCATTCGCGTGAGAGCGGTCGTCGTCTGTCGCGTTGATGGTCGCGCGACGCTACTGCCACCGAAAATGGGCACTTTAGGCATTATGTGAACGGGGTGTGATTTGTCGCCCCCGTGAACAATCTCGTACCATTCCCATTTCCGGAAAACGTCCCAGCCACTTGCGGGTATTGTTATAACGTTGAGCGTTCGCGGCGACACCACCGTGGCGTACACGGTGACGTGCGCATGTAACGTCGTGCCGGTTGTTCACGACGCGCTCAGCATAGGCTCTTTCACTCGAATTCTAGGATCTGTGAACTAGCGAGCTTAGTATGATTCTTCTTTCCGTCTTTTGTTCTTCAAAATTTGAAGACCATTGTTGTATTTCTCCGTCTCCTGGTGATAATCATATTTGCTTGCTTCCGATTTGCCCGGTTTCTCTCCATTTATCGATTGGTCAGTTTTACGCGCGCGTCAGCTCGAACGAATTTCGGAACAATTCACTAATCCACTTGCTTTCTTGGAAAAAGTCATTTTTTGAAAATTGGGAAGTCTGCTTAGATTTGGAAAATTTGCCCAGTTCAACTTTACAATGGTGAAGGGTTGTTCATCAAAAGTATTCCGGAAAACGAGAAGAGCTTCCAGTGCAGACCACACACCACAAGTGACGACGGCCAAGAAAAAGCGGCTTTTCTTTCTTTTTCTTGGCCGTCGTAACTTGTGGTGTGTGGTCTGCACTCGACGCTCTTCTCGTTTTCCGAAGTAAAGGGTAAATTGGATCTGAATGAAACCTGATAAAATGGGCGTGGCTTACATTCACTTTAGACAGACACGTAATAGGCCGTTTCGAAGAACTGAGCTTAGCCGTTCTCCGACTGAAGAAATTCCTTCGAAATCCACCTGGAACCCGCCACCTGCTATTTTGGCAATTTTTCGAAATAAGGCTATAAATTTCTGCTATTTTGGCAATTCTTCTCAAATTTACAGGGTATTGGCCTTATTATCGATTGATTTTGGTTTTACTGAAAAGTTTGATTTCAAATTCGACTGTTCAAGAGAATGCACTTTTTTCGAAATTTGTTCCGCTGTCGTGTCCCAACTTGTGACTGAACATTTCCAAACTGATCGATATTGATTGGTATTGATTGCATGCCACCACATTTCTCAGTCATATTGCACTCATTCCAAACTATAGGATATGAGGCCATCTGTTGTTCGCTCTCTCTCTCTCCTTTCCCCACCCACTTCCCTTGTCCACCCTGCTCGTAACGTGTACTTTTAAGTGACGGCACCGACACGTTTTGCAATACTGTTTGCGCTACAGTATTCCTACAGTATCACCTGTACACTTAAATTGAAACCCGTTTTCGAATTTTGGCCATATTTTCATTCGAGATTTGATCAAGCAGCTAAGTAAAAACCCGGTTAGCGTTTTCTAATGTTTAAAATGATGGAGCGGTCTTTCAGTTCATGGCGCAAATGTTCTAGTTTTTTTTTACTGAAACTAATCAATAAGGTGTTCCTACTTCATGTTGTCTCTCCGAATTGATTCAGTTTGTGTTTTCTTATTGGTTTTCGTTTTTATCGCTTTGATGCTCCGGTTTTGTGTTCCCACTCCTGCCATTATTTTTCTCTATCAAATGGTTTATTTATAAAACAACGTTGTGATGATGATAGAGAGCACAGAAAAACGTTTTCAGAGGTTTTTTCGAAAGAAAGAAATTCACGTCGCTTACAAAAAGCAAAATGTGGCACACAGAAAGAAAAATCAGTGAAGGAAGAGGGTATCTCAATTTCAGATTCTACGATGAAAAGGGAGCCCACTTGAAAAATGTTTGAGATGGTCAGTGATGCATGGAAAGAGGAAAAAGTTAAGAAAAGTACCGTAGGACCTGGGAAATGGAACTTCTTCCTTGCTCACATTTGCGCCTTGCGCAACTATCACCGATGCCGCCTCTTAACCGGTTAATCGCTCTCTCTCTGCTGAAGGACAAAGGCTCAGAAACTAGCACGACGCTAGAGGGGGCCGCACGATGCCAATAGAGCGCCAACATGTCCGGCAAAAGGTCATGCTAAATCGTCGGGAGCATCTACTTCGATGGAGGCTGCGTGTCGATCTAAACCCTTGAGAGATTCACATGCTCCACTTGCTAGGTTTCCCCTTCTTCGACCTCACCATCTCATAAGCCTCGCTCCTTTAACATTATTTCTTCTTTAACACGTTGACGACAACGCGCGTTTTGGGTTTTTGCGCCGCGTGGGACCACGGCGATTTTGCAGGCGCCGCCGCCTCACATCAAATCCGTGAATTTTGAGCTTTAAATACGCAAAACTCGGATGCAACAAAATGTTTGATATTCGATGTGTTCGTGTTTATGGTTGTTGTTTATTTTGTTGTCCAACCTTAATAGAAGGAACAACTGTAAAAGTTCGATCAAATTGACGTTTCCTGGCAACAAAAAGGCGAGTTTCAGTTGCTTTTGCTATAGTAAACCTCAAAATTACTTTTCACACGGTCACTCCACTAAAAACATATATCTTGCTATACGTGTAGGTCTGTGCTTACTTCTACTACTCTTTTTTATGACCAAGATTGTCAGAATATAAAGAAAACTAGGAATGAACACAATTGGGAAATTCGTAGGGCTTAGAAAACCTTCGCTAAAAAGGAGCATATTCAACCATTCGATGAACCTCGCCGTGTCTAGTCATATTATGGTGTGGTCTATAGAATAGATGCAAAAAAATTAGAAAAGAAGTAGCGCATGCGCGAAAAAAATTAATAATTTTGTGTGTGCAGCGCATGCGCTGCACACGGTCCCACACGGTGCTCAAGGTGTGATGCGCATGCGCTGCACAATGTCGTCAACGTGTTAAAAATTCTTCGATACTTCCAGCGCATAGAGAGTTGTCAGAAGAGTGGTTTCAAAACAAACGCTTCATTCTCCGCGAGAGGCTTTCCGTCGCTTCTACAGAAATTCCACCTTCCGCTTTGCAAACGAGAATTATGCCAAGTTGGAGTATCGAAAACACTTCACTTCATCATACACGAGCAAATGGTCCGACAATTTTCTTAATTAGACCGATCTTCTCCAATTTCATACTGTGATCCAGAATGGCTTCACTCGTGAAAATTGGTTTTTGCATTGTTTTTGCCGTGCCCCCAGAACCATTACTATCTCAGAATTAGAGTTGAAATTTATTAACACTCTTAGAGTTATGTGCGTCTCGCCTTACGAACGTTAATTCCAACTTCTGCAAGAGCGTCCCTTATTCCAAGTTATTGATTTTTTTTTTTTTTTTTATTTTTTTTGCTATGAATTTAATGCCATCCAACCCGGTAGTATGGTTGGGGGTGACAGTCACACAAAAAAGTGCAGGTAACAATATGTGTATCGAGTGATAAGCATCGGGTTATCATGGGATAGCAGCCGTGAACTACGTCGAGAAATATTTGTGGTCCTTCTGGTGTTAGGCGGCTGGCGTGTGGCGATTAGTGATAATGTCCGCGCGGGCGATCCCGGTAGCTAACTAACGACAAATCCTTCGTCGATTGGTCGACATGAATCCTCGACCGTATCTCACCTGGTAGATGTATTTAATACAAATTTACCCGAGTTTAGTACTTTGTTCGGCATACCACTGCTTTATTGTTCAGTAGCTTAACAAAATTTTCCATCGCAAAACAAATCATTCACAATAATGTTTCGACACTAGTCATATTTTTACTTTTTTGAAAAAGAAACCAAAAGATTTCGGTGTTGTTAAGGTCGACAGTTGACCCGTCTTGAAACATTTGCACACATAGATCATACTTGTATGGGTCTCTCGCACAAGTCAAAAATACTCCAACAAGCCGGCAGTACTATGCCGTAATCAATGCATATTAATATACGAGGCTTGGCAGTGGTACTCTCAACTACGGCTTCTGTAGTAATGAGGTCTTCTGGGGTATCAGGAGTGAGATCTTCTGGGATGGAAGTCGTAGTTACTTCGATTACTTCAGTGACCACTGGGGGAGTTTCAGTTGTTCCGCCAAGTGTTCCAATGTTCTTTTCTCTAAAGCAATATTAACAGTCAAGTGAACGTTGCTAATTAAATATTTTCATAGGGGATTCGCCATGCACTCAGCTTGCTCAGGGATTGGATGAGCTTAGTGTAGCGCTTATAGCTGACAGAATGATGTGATAGGGCCGGCCGAGTTTACGCTAGTGTTCTATGTCAAGACGGAGTGGAGCTCTCGAAGAAACGGCGAGCGTTAGTGTGATAAGGCCCTTCTCGAGCTCCTACTCCACTTACTCAATTTTTATCATTGAAGAGAAAAGTGACGATCAACCCAGGGGATTTTTCACCACTTTGTGATAAATCGGCGCTATAGCAAGGTACGGGGGCATGACGGTGGCTATGTATTTGAAATAGCGTAGAAAATTCCCTTTCTGTTGAAAAACGGGTTACGCCTTAAGGCGAGGGTGAGTTACTTCAGGGCGAGTGTGGGCTGTTTTCTTTGCCCTAGGGCGCTCTCTTTTCATCTTACAAGGGAAGGATGGTAGGTCGAAGTGGCCGTTTGAAATGAAATGTATACCTCCTGATGCGTCTCCAGACGCTGATTCCAAATCTGCCTTCCAAATCTGCTAAACGACTCTCCGAACGGAGTTATGAAGCGTAATAGCTCAGTGGTGATGGTTCAGGGTGGCAGGTAAAAGCTCGTAGGATCAGTTCCTTGCAAGTTGCTTGCTTTGCTTTTGTCTCTAGAAGTGTTGCGGACAAAAGCAAAGCAACAACTTGCAAAGGAACCGATCCTACGAGCTTTTACCTGCCACCCCGGACCATCACCACTGAGCTATTACGCTTCATAACTCCGTTCGGAGAGCCGTTTAGCAGATTTGGAAGGCAGATTTGGAATCAGCGTCTAGAGACGCATCAGGTGGTATACATCTCATTTTATACGGCCACTTCGACCTACCATCCTTTCCTTGTAAGCTTGGTCGTTGAAAAGATGTCCCTTTTCTCTTAGGATAGCGCCGATAAGTCAAGTGTTTTATTTTTTCGTAGTCCTGAGATAACGACGGACAAGACGAAGTCGTCGTGGCGCAGCCATGAAAGATCAGGTGGTCACCTAGCAGTTTTCACAAATTCACGAACCTGAAGTCGTGGAAATTTCTCCGTTCTTGTCATGAGGTGTTGTATCGATGATCTTGTAACCACGACGTTTAGGGAGCGGTGGAGGGGCTAAACAGTTTGTTGACTGTGATTGATACTACTGTGAATAACGATTCGGATATTCATAAGGATATGGGACTTACTAGGTTTGACCCGTCGTCTGATTTCGGGTTCCACAAATTGTGGCCACCATTTCTTCGGCGACCACCTTAATTGCCGCAAATGTTTCCAATCCAGTGGCTGGGATCTCGCGTTCGGGAAGAAGGAAACCATAACTAAAAATCGATTCTGATAATAGGCGAAGCCTACGATATGACGAGAGAGTGTGCGCGCAGCGTGCATGCGTGGCTTGAGTGAGTTACAGTCAAATGTAACCTCCCTTCAAAAGCGAGAAAGTGTCGGGTGCAGACCAAACACCACAACTGACGACGGCCTCCAAGTAAATCTGGTTAGAAGTTGTTCATAGTGATGATTTCTGGTAAATGATAGTTGTAATTAGTGACAATCGATAGAATACAACTGCAACAGGCTAATCATTTCATTGGCAGAAAACATTAACATTTTGTGAAGGCCGTCGTCACTTGTGGTGCATGGTCTGCACCCGACACTTTCTCGCTTTTTGAAGGGGAGGGTAACTTCCCCGTATCGCCGTGATCACTTCGTATTGCGCTGTTTGAAAGCAAAGCCCGTGATTCGAGAATGGAGTATTCCCATCCAAATAGGAGTATGTTGTTGGTGAGTTGCTTATAAGTGAATAATAAGTCGAGGAATTATTGATGGGAATTCCCTGTTCACTAACCCTGGGAGAGGTTATTATGCTGGCGTGCTGTTTGTTAGAAACACCAGCTTCATGGTTTTGTAGCCGCAACGCTGCTGCCCCTAAAACTGGCGGCACATTTTTCATGATGGCCATATGCTTTCGTGCTGACAGCCGGAAGGCATTTTGCTTGATGTGTGCAATAGTTGAAGGAGGGTCGCAATAAGGTCCGAGGTCGAAGAAAGGGAAGTATGCCTAGTCGCAAGACAGGCGGTCTGCCTAAAGATGCGGGACGATGTGCTGTAACGCAAGGTCTGCTCGTACCCGTGCCGCTCGTGCCGCTGCCTGCCCACATCCTCGCCGTCTGACTCTAGCCGTTTAGTGTAAAGAGCGTTAGCGTTGATGAGAGTAGCACCGATGAGTGGCCAATGCGAAAATCTAATGCACGAAGGGTTTACTCGAGCCTCTGGCACGTTTTTTTCATGCCTTTCTTCGGGTCCTGCTTCACTGCCAATTCTTTCTTTATTTCTAATGAAGCGCTTGTTTTTTTTCTTTTGGTTTTTTGCTAGTAACTCCGTTTTTGATGACGCGTAGCCTCCAGCGCTTTTGTTACGGCATTTGCATGTTACTGAGGGCGGTTTACGAATATTAAAGGATTCTTTTCACGACCCCATGGACCCAGTGGGCGGGACCGGAAGTGGTTTTGCGACGAAATGCATGGTAGGTACGGATCCACGTTCATGGGAAGGTTTGAAGTGAATCCTGTTCACGTTCGTGCGTTCGACACGTGGATCCGTACCTACCATGCATTTCGTCACAAAAACTTCCGGTCCCGCCCACTGGTCCATGGTCCGTGGAAGATTCCTTTAACCTTTTCACCACCTCAACCTTATGTGATCAGTGACGACTTGGTGTAGCTGCGCGTAATCCAGCCCGTGCCTTCGGAAGAGATCCAGAAACGGATCAGAAGCCGATAGGGTACAGTGAGAGCTACAGTGGTGCTTAGGTGATTGGTTCTGTAGAACTTAAGCTGGCATTATCTACCCAATCGCCATTGCAACCTGTTACTAGAAATTATACTATATTATGTGCGCGCATTTTCAGCAACTGCTTGGACAAAATGAAATGCTTGGAAAACCAAGTTTAAATTTGCAATGTGTTTTGCACTGCAAGAATTGAAAAATCGATAAATACCACTTTCAGAAAGAAATAATCCCGAGGCTGAAGTCCATGTTTTGTCGTTGTTCTAACAATAACAGATGAGTCCCTCATGCCTCGTTCATGCTCAGCGGAACGAATAATGCTCTAAACACTCCAACTTTGAGTCTAGGGTGGAAAGTTTGCATATTCAAGGAGCCCTTTCAAAAGTGATTGATTCTTAGAGTAAGAGTAGTAGTAAGTAAGTAATTGAGCTTCTCGCTACTACACTAATTTTTCGGAGAAGATTCAGTACTTGTAAGGCTTTAAAGGCGCACCCCACGATCATACCATTGGAGCGATCCCTTCTTTGGATAGGATAGAGCTCTTTGCAAAGGTCTCTTGTTTATACGGCTCCGGCATGTGTGACAAGAGCGCTAGGATTTTGCCAGCGCTCCCATTTACTCGTCCTGATTGTTCTTCCTATCGCCAGCTATGCAACGGCCCTGTAATTGCACCCTCTTGAACGACGTGTACTTTCGCGTATTTTCTCTCTTCAGTGTACTGCGGCTCTCGGTCGTATCACAGACAACCTTATGAAGAGATGGCCTGGAATTATAGTATTTCCAACTGCTCTTGGTGCATTCTTCATCATCGCCAGTCTTCTTCGAACCCACCCCTCCCCCCATTTTCCACTTTCAAGTAGAGTTAGCAGATGACCGCGATCTGCGCCTTTATGTACTTCTCAAGGTAGCGGATACGCCAAGTCTCTGTACGAATGACTAGTGAGTGAAAAACTGGTACGATAATGAAAAGGTACCAAAAGAAATGGGCAGAGTGCCATCAAAATAGGATTATTATCATTTTTCAAGTAAATATGGGTAGGACGAGATTTCGCGATAGCTGGAAATGTCAGTGCGTAGATCGCGGTTTTGCTTTCTGTGGCAAAGACGGGTAAAGATCAGCGATGAGGGCAAGGGAAAGAGCGAAAATTTGAAAGCTGGGCGAATTCTGTGCGGCGTTGCTCACCATAAGCCGCTCCGAAAGCACCTTTTGCTGAAAAAAGTCTCAAGCATTATCCGCTCAGACAGCCGGTTTCCCTCCCCAGCGGACTTGGTTGTCCGCTCAGACTAATTGTACCATATTTTTTTGGAATCGAATTTCTTTGCTCACCCAACTGCTGAGTTCTGTGGCCTCAGTTCGATGAGGTATGCATAGCTGACTTTTAGCGAGCCTTTCGCCCAGTCGTGCGATCCTCCTGACGCTTCATCTAAAAGAATCATCTAACTAGTCTTCATTCCGGATGTATAAACGACGTAGCTCTCACGTAATGGCTTTATGGACATAACAGCAACTCACACATTATATCGGCACCAGTTCCTACTTGATATTTAGTCCCGTACAGATCGTAGAGCGCTTTCGTAGCCTTTTCCGCTAACGGTCGCTGAAATGTAATTCGATAATCGCACTTAAAACATTCTTATGACAAAGTTCTCATTTGTCGATGGACAAGACTCTCAAGACATTGTGCAGAACAGTGCCCGAAAGCCTGAAAATGAACCGTAATTATGTCTCTCAAACCCCATCCATGGAATGCAAGATCAGGACTACTAATTCTGAAGGTCATCAAGAACCCAGCCATAATTTTAGCCTATGAATGGTTCTTGAAACATGTTCGTGAAGGATACAGTAAAAAGGAAATACAGCAATAATTGTGGGACTCAACTTAGGACGACTGTCTGCCTTGTTTTTGATGTGATTTCTATTCGAATATGCTCTGTCCAAGCGCGTCCACTGGACGTATAGAAATAAATAAATACACAAATAAATCGTACAAAACGATTCAGCTTCATCGGAGGTTGCACGTCAGGACGATCCTGAGGATTTTCGGACAGGAGAACCGGCGACATACTGAGTTTTGGGAAGAGCCCATATTATACTTTCCCTAGTGGATCACTTATCTTCACTAGTTTCAACCCCTCTGTTACCGTAGATGTATGATGTTGATCAACTACAGTAATCTATAAAAATTATGGGCTTAAACCTGTTATCCCACCATAATGCCTCCGTCCACTCACAGATCACATCTTCGGTCAAAAGCGGTAAGAGCTACAAAAGTATATTAATGGTGGAAAAGCCAGCTTTATAGGTCGGAAAACCTCCTAAGAATCAGTAGGTGATGCCAAAATTACCGCGATAAGTCAAACAACGAGAACCAAAGCATTTTGAAATTATTGTTCTTTCTCTAATTTCTAGGACTACGGTGACATTTGAATAGGCCTATTTTACCTGAATCAGGTTTTTTTCTAAAGTTGTTTATCAGTTGTGGAGTATTCCCGTCAGCTGAATTTTTTTCAGTATAACCCCTATTTATCCTATATTTTTTTATTCCATTCAACTGCTCACAGACATTTCGGCTCCCAATCATTATCTTATCAAATATTTTGGGTATGAATTGTTTTACTTATTTTGATTATAACAAAAAGGTTATTATTGACGAATTAGTTGATTATTTTTTGAATCTACTCAATGGTATACACTTACAGGAGGAACACCACGTAGGAAAAGTAGTGAAACGATGAATCAATTGTTTCATATTTTTCTCCAAAACATTCTAGCTTACCTTTTTGCAGATATTGTATAGTTTTTAATAGCAGCTGCCAGTCATTACCCTTATCAAGATACACATCAGATAAGAGCATTTTCAAGCCCATGACTCACCAAAGCGGTGTGGTAGTCCTGAGGGTAACTCCTTTTCCGATGGCCAAACGGAATCAGCCACATTTGAGAATACGAGTGTAATGTGATGAATGCCTGGAAGGTATGAGTTTGTAGCTCAAGTGCAAGGTTCATTGGGTTATCAAGCATTCGCATCACAACATAAGTGACGGTTCCACCATGAACTGCCGTTTCCGGAAAGGTTATTTCGTGGATGATGGAATACAGTAGCGGTCAAAAGTGTTCGCCGAAACGATTTTCAGTGCATTATTTTTTCTCGCTTGAGCAACGTCCAAAGATATACTATGTTTTCTAGTGTTTTTATATCCTCAAGTCCTTAAAGAATCAGGATGTTCAAAAAAAATTTTCCGAGGTCATCCCTAATTTCTTCTG